TTATCTTCATGACTCCAACACACAGAGCATGCTGTTTTTCTTCTGCCATAATTGCAACAATGAGATCTATTGCAGCAGGGTAAAGCTTAGCTCCAGGAGCACTTAAGCCTAGACACACGATATTTACTGCACTGAGTACAAATTTGATGGCTTCTTTATCAACCTGCTGTTGTGGCAGGATAAAAGGATATTTGTGAAGTAGTAACTTTAGGGTTGGATAAAAAGTCCCCTCTCTTTGCCTAAAAAATAGTAATTCTCCATTTACTGTAAGGATTTCTGTATGTTCATGGCATTGGACTATTTTGGCAGTGTCTTTCTTAGGCATGATTTGATTAAGCCGTGGTTCAGTACCTGGAAATTGCTCTATCGATTGGTTCGTAATACCCATAACAACTGAGGTTTTCAATTGGATGCAGTTGGACACGTTTTCTTTTTCATCAAATTTCTTGAACATGATCCAAGGTGAAGGGGGTGACAGTAGGGAAGGGCCCAGGATGGGAAAGCCCAATGACTTTTTGGGGGGGGCGGGGGGGGGGCTGGCNACAGAATACAAGAAGAAATGGACAACTGAAGAATTCCAGTGTGAAATTTTACAGTATTTTTGCATGTTTTTCTAAACTATAGAGAAAAAAATCAGGATATACATAATAAAGTGATGTGCGTACTGCCTAATATATGGATTCAGAATATTGTAGTTAGTAACTGATAGAAATCAGACATTTCTTGTCTCAGAGTGAAAGAGGGAATGGACTTGAAGGGCTAGAATGCTTTTTTCTGGGGAGATGAATATGGTCTATATCTTGGGAATACACAAGTATGTGAACTCGTCAGAACTCATCCACTGCACACTTCTGTTATACGCATTTGATTATTTTTTATTTTATATATATATATATATATATATTTTTTTTTTAAGGAAAAGATTAGGCAGGTGCCACAAAACTTAACACATCTGTGGACCTGTTTAGCCCAGTGACTTTTGTCTTTTTTTTTTTTTTAGCATCTGTTGAATTCAGCATAACCATGGAGGCATTGTCTTCATGCTGTCACACTAGACACGAACACAGATACAGCACAGTATCCATATTTAGCCCAAGTGCATTCCTTCTGAGGCTCATTTATATGTCTTCGTAGGCCACAGCCATCGTTTAAATAATGGATATTTTCAATGCCAATTCCTTTGTTGACTTTCTCAATATCTTCTATAGTTATCTTCATGACTCCAACACACAGAGCATGCTGTTTTTCTTCTGCCATAATTGCAACAAT